TGTATCATAGACCTTACTATTATATGTCTTTAATATATGGGACTTCAACCCATAACTCTAGTATCATAATGCTTATGCATCATGGAGACCTTCTATAATAATGCTTTAGTATAATAGAGCTTACTATCATAAGTCCCTAATAGGACTAATCATTGTGCTACAGTACTTCAAGCAGTCGGGCGCCAGACCACCCCATATATATGTACCCCATATACCTTGGGTATGCGTCTCCGACAGCTTCTCCATACAAGCCATCTATACATGAACACCCTCCATAACTTGGGAAAATTTTCTTTTATACACGGTCACCTCATAGGACAGAACTTTTTTTACCAATTTTCCAGTCTTACATATAATGCTTATGCATCAACCTTCTATAATATTGCTTTTGTATCATAGACCTTACTATTATTATGTCTTTAATATATGGGACTTCAACCCATAACTCTAGTATCATAATGCTTATGCATCATGGAGACCTTCTATAATAATGCTTTAGTATAATAGAGCTTACTATCATAAGTCCCTAATAGGACTAATCATTGTGCTACAGTACTTCAAGCAGTCGGGCGCCAGACCACTCCATATATATGTACCCCATATACCTTGGGTATGCGTCTCCGACAGCCTTCTACATACAAGCCATCTTACATGAACACCCTCCATAACTTGGGAAAATTTTCTTTTATACACGGTCACCTCATAGGACAGAACTTTTTTTACCAATTTTCCAGTCTTACATATAATGCTTATGCATCAACCTTATATTAATAATGCTTTTGTATCATAACCTTTACTATTATATGTCTTTAATATATTTTTATAAGTTTTTAATAAATTTATTTATTTTAAAAGACAATATTTTGCCCCCTTATATTGAATTTAATTATTAATAATAATGATGGGCCGTCACACTATCCTTAAATGAAAATGAATCAAAATGTGCCCGGGTTTGGAGCTGGTTAACTGGCGGACCAAGCAATACTAATGGTGGAGCGTTTTCCGCGTCTATACTATTGAACAGGATATTAGGATTTGCAGAAAATTATGAAAAAAATATATTTAATTGTAAACACGAATTGGTATTATTACGAAGCAATATAAATCTTAATGCGATCAAGTTAAATACAGGTAAAGTTGTAGAAGATATTATATAAATAAAATTGTTTCGCGAGTTCCACACATCAAAGTATCAGATCGTGAAAGAATTAGCCTATTAAAACATTTAGAGAAAGATAGAGCTATTCTTTAGCACTCCGTTCCTGGGAATTATATGAGTATCCATTGCTACCCAAAACACAAACATACTTGGTCTATAAAAACTTCATCGCAAATAGAGAAACCACGATTTGTAGTCATTGCCTTCCAAACCAACCGCAAACATAACGCGAATATCAATGGCAAAGTTTGACCACTGTCACGTACAAGATGTAAGAGTCTTTTTAAATTCATCATATTATCCTTATGAGGGGCTGAATGTCAGTTTTTCAGAAGATAAGTTTTCTTTATTATACAAACATTATGCGAGATTTCTACAGTCGTATCACGGACACTGGTTAGAGCTGTTGATGGCTTAAAGGACTTCAGAAATATAACTTCAAAAATAGCAAAAATGAATTTATAGTAAAAGAATTTGCTATAGCCACTCCAAAGTACACGAAACCATTCCTAATTTCTTAGGAGCTCCCAATTTAAATACTCTTTGTGAACTTTATTGTAAAGATACTTTGCTATATAACTGTTTTACTCATAAAAAAATCTGTGCGTTAAAAAATGTTTATGTATAAAGAAATGTTGTTTTGAAAACAAAGTGATTGTTTGATTTTCAATAAAATAAACACTTCCAGCCCTATTAATAAACACAGACTTGGGCAAGATTAACTTTACTCCTAGTTTAAAGCTTAAAATATCTAATTTCAGTATTAATAAACATAGAGTAAGAAGGGAGTAAACTAATCCGAATCTACTCTAGGAATAAAAGTTAATCCTTGGCGGTACCTAGTTTAACGACTGAGTAAGCATAGACTAGTCGCGTATTTTGACATTTTGTAAAAGTTTACATTTACGCGCGTTGTTACCCGTGTTAAATTCATAAGTTGTAAGCACTAGTAACAAAAACAGCATAATGGATTAAAATGCCAAGAAGTGATGTGGAGCAGAACAAAGTGATTGCAGGTTTTTTCATTATGTGGATTTAGACAAGTGATTGGGGCTATTGATTGCTATTTCATATTCTAATCCCGAAAGTCGCTGGAAACATCGGACAATACTACATAAACAGGAAAGGCTACAGTTCAATAAATGTACAAGTAAGTTTTATAGCACCTAGCTAGCCCACCTCTGCCGTATAGGTACTTAGTTATTTTCTCAGATTCAATACAATCTGCTCAATCTATTACTTCATATTAAAGAAGTTATGAGTAATTTGTTCCAGGTTGTGTCAAATGCAAATTTAGAGTTCATGGATACAGTGGCACATTGGCAAGGCAGCACACATGACTCAATAATATTTAATTATCGTCGCATTAAAACAAATATTTGAGCAGTCAGAATTTAAAGGCAGACTTCTCCGAGATTCTGGTTTTGCTTGTACTTCTTATTTATACACTCCTACCCTGCGTCCTAATAAACAAAAGGAAGAATGTACAACCGGTCGCACAACTGGTGGCCCCGTTACACTGTAGAACAATGCTTTGGAGGGAAGCAAAGGTTTCGGTGTTTACTGCGAGGACTTAATACTAAATAAGAACATACAAAACAATATATACATTGCAATGCAAAAGCAAGATCTACTTGAGGATGTAGTATAAGGAGATGATGAAAATATATCAGTCACACAATTAGTAAATCATTCCGTTAGAGGAAATTCTGTTCGGGCAGCATTTATTAACGATTTTTTAAATAAATATACAATAATTACATGTACAAAAGATTTTATTTATACCCAAAAAACAAAACGAAAATGGTTATTTAATTAATTTTGCCCTTCACGCTCTTTTCTTAATTCCAAAATTTCGTTACAAATAATATTAAAAATGATTATATTTAGAACTTAGTTTTTCCACCGATTCCGAAAACAACACGAGGAACAAGGAACAACCCGTAACATTTATCTCTTGTCAAACTCAAAATATTGCCTGTCACTGTCATTAATGTCATCATCAAGCATTGAATTCATTCACTAATCATTCACTGACTCACTCTTTTTACTTTTAAAATAAGTGGGTTGCCATAGCGCAAGCCTTAATCCCGGCGTAAGGAATGTATAGTTAGTCCGAGGTTACTCCATGCTTATTAATAACATTGTAATAACGAAGTAAATAATCAGTTACTCTGAGATTAGCTAGTCCAAGTGTAACTTCGAATTAAGCTTGGAATAAGCAATTTTTATTAATAAGGCAGTTCATCTTTTAACTTAAACTACCTTTGTGCTCGAGAAGAAGAAAAAATAGTTTCAGACTAGCAACGATTAGTATTATTAAAGTAACTGGGTTTTTTTTGTACCACCTTGCATTTTAACGATGAAGTAGATTAGCCTTCATAATTTGTTGTTATATTATTTAACTAGTTATATTTGAGATTCCGAATCAAACGTTATTAGAAATCACATTGAATTTTAACGATGAAGTAGATTAGACTTCATAATTTGTTGTATTATTGAACTAGTTGTGCTTGAGATTCCGAATCAAACGGTATTAGAAATGGAGCAAAGATCAAAAACAATTCAGATCGAGGATTAGAGTAAAAATTTAGACCTTTAGTGCAGAGAATTGGGGGCATGTAGCTCGAGCAAAGCGAGAGCAAGTGACGCAGAAAACCCAATTCACACCTAATTATGATAATTAGAAAAGAACGGGTAAGAATAGTATAAAAACAACTCAAAATCGGATCGGATCGGCTTCCTGCATATGTTACCAGGTCGTCACTCCATCTAGTGGGGGGTCGCCCTACACTACGCCTACCGGTACGAGGCTGCCACTCGAGAACCTTTCTTCCCCATCGGTTATCGGTTCTTCGAGCTATATGGCCGGCCCATTGCTCACTTCAGCTTACTAATCCGTTGGGCTATGTCGGTCACTCTGGTTTTACTGCGGATATCCTCATTTCTGAGTCTATCACGCAGAGAAACTCCGAGCATAGCCCTCTCCATAGCTCGCTGAGCGACCTTGAGCGTCCTCATACGGCCAGCAGTGAAGGTCCTTCACTGCTGGCCGATATATATATATATATATATATATATATATATACCTACTGCCAAGCTTCAATGATTCTTGCCGAAACCAAAGAAATTGTTAATAGCTCTTTTAAAAAAAAATTACCATGTTGTAAGTACGCGGGAGTCAAGAAAAAAAAAATATAAGCAAAACTACTTAAATTTTAATAAATAATTTGCTCAACACCATCTATCGAAAACATCGGTTAACTATTGTACTTTTTTCACTAAGATATTAAGGTTTATATTATATTTTATTTTTTATAAATATTTATTACGTTACTCTTTTTTACTGCGTTTAGGTACAATTATAGCATTATAGAATACTATTTTACATTACTCAATTACAAAAATATCCTTCATAACTCAACTCCACCATGAAACAAATTTGTACCTATGCTTCGTACCCACACTTCAGAATATTTATCATAACTTTTGTAAGGAGGAAACGATTTTAATAAAACAAAGACTAAATTTAAAACGAAGATACGCTTCACAATTTTTCTAACGGTTATTTCGATATAAATTAATACTTTATAAATGATACGTTAACAAACAAACAGACAGACAGACAATTCTAAAAATGATAGAAATGTATTCAATGATAAAGACACAAATATGCATACATAAAGTTGTTGATTAATGCAGCATAATATAAGAGTATATATTTAAATGATAATATCCAACTTTAAGGTTGTTTTGAAAATTTATAATATATACTATGTATTATTTATATGGATTTAATGTTAAAAAATGTTACCTAGACATTTTTACTCAATTTTAACAGAGTGGAAGGGGTGACTCGGAGTCCCGTATTCTCTCACGTATCGGCCAGTATGGCGGGTCTGACCACAATCCGCGCGAGCAATGCTGAAGAGTTGCTCCGTATACAATTCGACGACAAACAAGACGTGCACACGGCGGCATGGTAAGCATTGGAAAATCTTTTTGTAATTGCTCCAATTTTGTTCAAATTTGTGTCCATTGAATTAACTCCAAATAACTTTTCTGAGCAACCTTGTAAGTTAAATAAAGTTTAAGTTATATTTGACATAGGTAATCGTTTTTGTTCAAATACACCTAGTCGCGTCTAAACGCGAAGTTAGAAATAATTATGTGGAATAACCCCTATTTCGACTAGAGAAATATATTTATAGTAAAAGTCAGTCTGTGACGATAGAAAATTTATGTTCATTCTATATTAATAATGCGACATTAAGTGAACTGTTTGTTTCGATTAATATGTAATAGATATTCAGAGTTTATAACACTATAACACCGATAAATACAAACAAAAAGATTCAATAATAATAATACAATTACTATTTTATTTATGATTTGGTCCGCTATTGACACCCATTTTAAATATCTTTTTAATAGATTTTGACTTTGAATTGGCTGGTGACCGCAAGTGCGACTACTTCGAGACCCGAATTGACTAAAGTGTTATTGAGTTTTTCTATTATATTTAGCGACACAAAGTCTATTTTGTTAGGTAGATGTTAAGGTGAGTAAGGAATGTTGATATTAGTGAGTTTGCTTTCACTCTTTATAAGAATGACAGTATACTACAATCAAATTATATTTTTTAACTTTCTTTGATTGTTGATTTTCCATTATTTTGTAAAACATTAAAACTATCTGAAATTACTGCAAAAAAGAAATCTTATAATCTCCTTAAAAAGTAAGTACAAGTGTAATATGATTTTTAACTAGTAATTGATATGATTTTTAGGAAACTTCTATTCTGAATAAATATTTTTACTCTTATATTTTATATTGTAAAATGAAAACATTGCAGTTACATTAGCAAATGGTTAAAACCACATTTTTTGTGGGGTTGTTCCGAAGCTGAATATCTATATTGTCACCAATATTTTTGAAGTAATAATACGGATAATTCTAAATTTTAATATGAAAATTTAACATAAGTGTTAGACCTAGTTATAATAAAACATCCTTTTGAAACCAATCGGTATTACCACAGGATATTTCGCAGTATCCCCTTTATAAGAAAAATATCAGTCAAGTGTAAAAATCAGCAATAAAAAGAAAAATAAGCACGTTATCCGAGACACTTATAAATAAGAATGGCATTTAGTCAAGAGAGTTTAATTGCCAACTTAAACTTATTATTAGTAATTTTGCCAAATGTATAGGTCGCGCCACGAAAGAAGAAATTAAATAGCGTCCACTGCGCATGTACAATCAAGCAGAAAAATGAAAATTTTATTATGGCATTTTAATATGTAAAAAGTCAAAGGTCGACATTATAACTACACATCTAAGTCTCCACGAAAACGGGACGATATATTTATATATCATCGTTAGGTTTTAATTGCTTCTAAATAATATTCTGTATTTTATGTACACTTAGTTAAAGAAATAAAATATTTTGTATTTGTATTTTTGTATTTTTAATTGCTGTTTAAACTATACTATGTGATAGCCTTCGATTATAAGGATATTTTACATGCAATAATTTGCAAAAAAAATCATCTTGTGGAAAGTAAAAGAAAATATTTACAACTTTATACAATATACTACGTATTAACTAGGCTGCACTAAAAGTATCGGGAATGGAATATTTCCACTGTTCCTGTCATATTAAAATCTTTTTAATTAAAAACTCCTTGGTTTTAAAAATCGAATACCATTTATTTATTTAAAAAAAAGATTCTCGGTCTTGTCACAAGGTTTTGTCAAACTTGTTTAGTCGTTGAGAAAATGGAATTGACTCGAGAAAATTCAAGAGCGATGATTTATTATGACTTTCGAAGTGTTTTAATACAAAAACAGTGTGTTGACCGGATGATTTCTGCATTTGGTGATGAAGCCCCATCCAAAACCACAATTTATCGCTGGTTTGCTGAATTTCAACGTGGACGTGTCAAGCTCAGTGATGATCCCCGTCAAGGTCGTCCAAAAACTGCAGTCACTCAAGAAAACGTTGATGCTGTGCGTAAGCTGATTGAGGAAGGTCGACATGTGACATACCGCGAAATTCAGGCAACATTAGACATTGTCAAATACAAATAATCTTGCATGGACAATTAGGTGTAAAAAAGTTGTTTTCCCGATGGATACCGTATTCGCTCTGTGAAGAGCAAAAAGCGGCTCGCGTTACTTGGTGCGTCAGAACTTTCGAAAGAGATTCCACGAAGGTTCCTCAAATGCTGTATACAACATCGTATCTAGCATTTGTTTGTCACAGGTCGTTTCTGAACTCCGTAAAGAGAACTGAAACCGCCGCATCATCCTCCATCACGACAATGCGAGTTCTCACACCGCACACAGAGCAAAAGAGTTTTTAGAGCAAGAAAACATAGAATTATTAGACCATCCGCCGTACAGCCTCGACCTAAGCCCTAATGAATTCGAAACTTTCCCTAAAATAAAGAATAAATTGCGTGGACAGAGATTTTCATCACCTGAAGACGCCTACAAAACGGCCATTTTGGAGACCCCAACTTCCGAATGGAATGGTTGCTTCAATGATTGGTTCCATCGTATGGAAAAATGTGTCAAATTTCATGGAGAATACTTCGAAAAGCAATAAATACATTTTTAAATAGTAATGTGTTATTTCCTTGATTCCCGAAATTTTCAGTGCCACTCTCGTACGCTATTTTAAACAGTCCGAAAATAATTTACAAAGTAATAAATATTTGCACACTATTTGAAAATATTATACAACAGTACTTTTAAAAATACAAAAATAATCGCAAAAATTTTATAACAGGTAATCGCTAACACTTTCGATATCGATAGTACACAAGACGACACAAGAATGTGCGCGGGCGACGGGACGCAGGGAAAGACTACGAAGGAGTAGCGCGTCGCCCGTTGCTATGGTTTCGCTTCCCCGTACCTCACACCTCACCGTGCCAACACCTATTTTTCGCTGCTGCGCACTTTCTTCACTCGTGGCGTTGCCTATACAAATAAATAACCCCGTCATGTTTTAAAAATTCTGTGGATGTTACCCTAATGCGCCCGATCCTTTTTTTATCCTTCAAGAATGCAATAATCATTTTAAATAAATAAATAAGATTCAATTTTTGCTATCCCTCAAGATCACCCTATTTCTATTTAATATCCACAACTACTAATGCGCGCATGATAATAATATATAATTATATAGGTAAAAACTTCTCTCTAAACCTATATTTTTAAGACAAGTTTCCATTATATAAAAAAAATCATCATCATAATAGCCTTTTACAAGCTACTGCTGAAATGTCCTATTGACAGTCCACATTTGACTTGGTAATACTTTAAAAATGTTATTTCCGCCAACAACATTGAAATTGTAAACTGCATGCAATTCACAAGAATTGAACTTATTACATACCCTGAGTTAAAGAAAAACATGAGAAAATCTGTATGTCTAAGAAATAAACTATATTATGAGGACAGGGAAACCCGCAGTCGAACTATTGTCACATAATAAGTTATAACGAGCCGTAGTAGCTCAGCAGCTAAGCGCTCGCTCTAAATTTCACACTATGCGAGTAACCCGGGTTCCTTCCCTGCCGGCACCAATGTGGTTATTAATTGCAATTTTAAGTGCAAATGTGTCACTTCCTCGGCGGTAAAGGAATACATCTTGAAGAAACATTCATGTCTTAGAAACGTGATCTATGGATTTTTTACATATAAGAGGGGTGATAAACGAGCACGCAGTCCACCTGATGGTAAGTGGATGCTGTGTCCCAAAAATAACTACATCTTTCCTCGATTAAGAATCAAAATGCAGATGCGTTGCTGCCCCTGAGTACAGAGATGGAATGCGTCGTATGTAGTATAAAGGGTCTCCTGTTCTCTACACTTACCATAAGAAACACAGCAGTATTGAGTTGCTATTTTACGCTGGTATTCTGTAAGAACGTGATCCTTCTCCGGTCGAGCTGATCCATTCGTGCTACCCATAATATAGCTGCAACATGGTTCTAAAACGGAAAATAATCATACAAACGCTTGAGATTCGTTCTCAGAAATGCTAGTTTCATAAAGATATATAAATCTCAAGCGAACGAATATAAAGCTTAATACGCTTAATATTCAGTGTTCTGGTATGCTCGAAACTCGAGACTAGTCATCGTGTTATGGAATCCGTATGAAAGCACTTATATTCTTCTTTCGGAAAATGTCCAAAATAAGTACTTAAAATATCGCTACAAGCGTCTTTTAAGATGCTATCAACTACCACGCACCGTGGCCGTGAAAGGAAAAGGGGAGATCTCTCGCTGGGCAAGGTGCAAGCTACCTACGCTTCGTGTGATAGTTTGGAACTGTCCCATTACTTCGGAACTTCGATAGTACGCATGTCGTACATACATATTTTTCAACTTCTCTAAGATACCTGCTCTTAATTATGTATATCTAAAAAAAACTTTATTTCAGGTACTTGACACTAACATCAAACACCGGTTTCTCGATATGGTTAAGTCTTATGTCAGCCGTCTATGTCATCATTGTGGCTTATACGTTCCTTTTGTTAGATGACGGTAAGATTTTATATATTATTACTTATTAGGTTATTGGTAATCAAACCAAAAAACATTCATATAATGTGTCCTTACATATGAAATTAGAGTTATTTCCAGAATTTCCAACATTTTAGTTTTGAAAACAGTCATTCATTTGTTTTTTCCTCATTATTTTTTTCTTTGGCGTCGCTTATTACGGAAAATATGAAACATCGATATATTTACGCGTGGCACCAGTGCTGCAGAAACAGCTCGAAGAATTAATGATGTGTACGTCGCTGATGTCGTAAAAGAAAGCACGGTACGGTTTTGGTTTCAACGTTTTAGTTCTGGAAATTTGGACCTTCAGAACCAACCCCGTGGACGGCCGGAGACCAAAGTGGAAAATGAAGAATTAAAGGCTATTTTGGAATCGGATCCATCACAAAGCATTTCAGAGATAGCTGCAGGCTTCGGGGTAAGTAATAAAACTGTATTAATCCACGTAAAGCAAATCGGGAAAGTAAAAAAACTTGAACGATGGGTACCTCATGAATTGAGTGAATCGAACTTGCAAACACGCATCGACTGCTGTGATACTTTGCTCAACCGAAAAAAAAATGAACGGATTTTAAATCGAATCATTACTTGTGATGAAAAGTGGATACTGTACGATAATGGGAAGCGCTCGTCGCAATGGCTGAACCGTGGAGACCCAGCCAAATCCTGCCCTAGACGAAAATTGACTTAGAAAAGGAGTAGCGCCGGTGTCGCTCACTACAGCTTTCTAAAATCTGGCCAAACGATTACGGCAGATATCTATTGTCAGCAACTACAAATTATGGAGGAAGAGCTAGCTGCTAAACAACTAAGATTAGTCAATCGTTCTAGGCCACTGCTGCTTCACGACCACGCAAGAGCACACACTGCACAACAAACAACCACTAAGTTAGATGAGCTACAATTGGAGTGTCTGCGACGTCCACCGTACTCCCCGGACCTTGCTCCAACTGATTACAATTTTTACCGGAATTTGGACAACTTAACTTGCAAGGAAAAAAATTAAACTCCTACCAAACCGCCTTCAAAGAGTTTATTGATTCTCGCCCCCATGTTTTTTTTTAGTAAAGGCATCAATGAACTACCTATGAAATGGAAACTGCATAGATAACAACGGTGCATACTTTGATTAATTAAATATAATTTACAAAAAAAATTGACTTTATATTCCTCCCGTAAAAAACGCCAATTTCATATGTAAGGATCTATTACATTATCATATATTGTCACATTATTGTTAATCAAACCTAAGAGTAAAGGGAATAGTAAAAAGAAGTTATAATTAATAAAATTTATTAGGAATAAAAAGTTAAATGAAGAGGAATTTTTTCAACTCTATACATCCATAGACCTAGTACAGGATCTTTTTTTATAGGATAGGGTGGCAAACAAGCACTCAGTCCACCTGATGGTAAGTGGTTGCTGTGGCCCATAGACATTTACATACGAATCAAAATTCAAATCCGTTGTCACCCGTAAGGACTAAAATGGAATGCCTCGTTACCAGTAAAAAGGGTCTCCGGTTCTCTACACTCACCATACGAAATACATTAGCATTAAGCTACTACTTCACGCTGGTATTCTGTGAGAGCTTGGTCCTTCCCCGGTTGAGCCGACTCATTCGTGCTACAACTATACTTCTAATGTAACTGCAGCATTGCTCTACCACGTATAAATGGCATTGTTGCTCTCAGTTATCATATTATATAACTCCTGGATTCCTGAGTATAATTTAATTTCACTTTAGTTTTCATAGTATATACCTTTTTCTTTTAACTCTTTTTATCCTGTATATTTTTATTATAGTCAAACATAAGAAGACAATTTTTGGTCTATTTAGTGTAGTAATATTTAGTAAATAATAAGCATTTGGTTTATTTTTAATTAGGATCATTATTTTTGTTTTAAATGTCTTATTTTATTCCTTACACCAGATTAAGTAGTTACTATTACATTAGATTAAGTATTTCTATTCATAACCTACAAGTTTTAATTATAGTGCTTTCATTACATAATACATTAGGTCTAGGATTTTAGTCATTACATTATATATTTTTAAAAAGATAGTACTATAGCATAAGTAGTACATGGAATTCAATAATACAACCGGATACCTAAGCTATTAGATAATTCAGTATAAATACTTTTTATTAATTCTCATACTGATCGTTCAATATAATAATACCTAATGATTTGTACCCAAGCTATGATTTCAAGATATCAGGTACTAGTACATATACGTTTAAATGTTTTTGCGTGTTAGATAGAAATATATAGGATTAATATTTTATAATAGAACAGTAGGTAATATCAGTATACAATAAAATAACAGAATAGACAAGTAACATAAAACAACAAACAATAAACATAGCACAGAGTACTTTTGGGAGAGAGTAGATAGCACGACATGCATAGGTTAATTACGAAATGATTTTCATTTAATGTTGTATCGGTAGCTACCGGGCTTTTGACCAAAGCGAAATATTGGATAATTGCGTGTTTTACTTTTTTCTCTCTCTCTCTTTTCTTTTACATTAACAATTTAAATGTTTTTTTTAATATATATATATATATATCATATCTATTTTACATACCTTACATTAATTCGGTTTACGATACAATGTCTGATGATGGTTCCTTTTACTCGATTTCTGACTCATTTATCATTTAAGTCCACTGAAGACTCGGTAACAGAATCGGTTAGCCTAAAAATGTTTATTGCTCAACAACTTACAAATTCCCATAAACACTTCAATGTTTGTCACATCAATGTGCAGAGCTTACCACATCATTTCTCCGAACTTTTGGATATCTTTACTGATACGATCCATGCTATATTAATCTCTGAAACCTGGCTCAAACCATCTCTACTCTCGACTTCTTTTAGTATACCCGGCTTTGTGCTATTACGAAATGATAGACTAGGAAACCGAGGTGGTGGAGTGGCGATCTACCTTCGCTGTAGTATCCCTTATAAGTACTATAGCGTCTGGATCTCTTGTGTATCTCTTCGTAGAAATTCTCTTAAATGGAAACAAAATTATTCTTGGAGTTGTATATTCTCCGCCTTCAGTTAACTATTTTCATGACCATTTCGAGTCCGCTATCATGAATATCGCATCGGAGTACGCACATCATATAATTATGGGCGACTTCAATACTGACCTTTTGCAGAACTCTTCTAGATCGCGAGAACTACGAATTATCATAAATTCAGTAAATTTCTCTATTCTCCCACTTGGACCCACGCATTCTAATATTAACACTGCTGATTCATGGCTAGATTTGATAATCGTTTCGTCTACTGAACATGTTGTAAATCATGGGCAGTTTCTGGCTTCTGGTTTCTCGCGCCATGATTTTCTATTCATTACCTATAGAGTCAATTAACCTAAAGTTACCGCACCTGTTCTGCGTCTGCGTAGCTTTGCGTCTCTGGATGTGCAGTTGTTGAAATGGAAAGCCGCCTCAATAGATTGGTCAGATATTTTAACACATCAGATGTAAATCATATGGTAGACACACTTACTAATAATATCCTTCAGTTATACGATACAGTCGCCCCGAATCGCAATGTTAAAGTCAAGCGCCCCCCAGCACCGTGGATGGACAGTGACATCCGTAAAGCAATGGCAAAACGTGATCGGGCTTTGTAAGATTTAAAAACGATCGCTCTGATGCCAATTGGAATGTATATAAGGCTACCAGAAACAGATGCAATCAGACGGTTCGAGCTGCAAAACGCCGACATATCCATAAGAATATTATAAGCTCTTCGCCAGCCGGCACTTGGAAGTTTCTTAATTCCCTTGGGTTAGGTAGACTAAAGAATTGCCCTGATATGGGGTCAATATCTCTCAATGATCTTAATAAGCACTTCTCGGCAACTAACGTCGATAATTCCATTAAACGTAGAACTATTTCTCTTATCTCATCAGTTCCCAAAATCGACGCAAACTGCTTTGCTTTTTTCTCCAATAACTGATGAAGATGTTCGTAAAATTATTTTTTCCATTAAATCTAAAGCAACTGGCTATGATGATGTGAGTAGAAATATGATTATCCCCATACTTGAAAACATTCTCCCAATCATTACCCACATCATCAATTTTTCTTTTTCTACTGGGGTTTTTCCATCTTTTTTGGTGTAAAGCATTTGTCCTTCCACTTGCCAAATTAAATACTCCCAGTTCTGTTAACCATTTTCGACCAATTTCTATACTTCCCTTTCTTTCAAAGATTTTAGAATCAGCTGCATACAAACAGCTATCCAGCTACATTTATAAAAATAATCTTCTTAGTCCCTTACAATCAGGTTTTCGTCCTGGGCATAGTACAACCACTGCTCTCCTTAAAGTTCTTGATGACGTACGAGAGGGTATGGAGGAATCAAAATTAACGGTTCTCGTATTAATTGACTTCTCCAATGCTTTCTGTACAGTTGACCATGACATTCTTCTTGCTATCTGTAAATACATGGGTTTCTCTTCGTCAATTTTGGATTGGTTATCAACTTATCTTCGTGGTCGCCAGCAAAGAGTTAAAGTCAACCAACAGTATTTCTCTGATTGGTCTGATCTTACTACTGGCGTTCCACAAGGCAGAATTCTTTCTCCTTTATTATTTTCTATTTTTATAAATCTCATAACTGTAAATTTCAAATGCTCCTACTATCTGTATGCTGACGATTTACAGCTATACGCTCGGATTGATCCAGCAGAGGTTAACTCCGCGATCGAAATTTTAAATCTAGATCTTGAGGCCATCTGTGACTGGTGCAGAAATTGTGGAATTGCTGTCAATCCTGTTAAATGTCAAGCGACAATTCTCGGTAGTCCTCGCCGTATAGCTAAATTAGATTTTAATTCACTGGAGCCTATCGTTTACAATAGCACAATTATTCCTCTTAGTCAAGTAGTTAAAGACCTTGGGTTAATGATTGATGCTAGTTTAAGTTGGCAATCTCTGGTGGCTGAAATAAGCCGGAGAGTGACAATCACCCTCCGTGGCCTTTATCGTTTCAAGAATTACCTTTCAACCGACACTAAGGCTATGTTGGTGCGAGCGCTTGTTTTACCACTCATTGATTATGCTGATGTGTGTTACTCTGATGTGAGTCAAGTACTTCTGTGCAAATTGGATCGTTTATTAAATAATTGCATCCGTTTTATTTTTGGCCTTCGTAAATACGATCATGTATCCATATATCGTTCTAAGCTTAAATGGCTCCCTATCCATCAGCGTAGATGTATCAAAATTCTTCACACGCTTTTTTCAATCCTATATGATCCATGCACTCCCCAATACTTGAAATGCAAGTTTCAGTATTTGGGTTATTCTCACGATCGTAACCTGTGATCCTCCGAGGAAACTACATTATGTGTTTTTCCTCGCCGTACCAAATTTATGTCTCAGTCTTTCGCCGCTGAGGCCATAAGGCTATGGAATAAATTACCCCCTCATATCAGAAAACCGACTTCTGTTGTTACATTTAAGAGAATGGTGACTGATCACTACCTTTCTACTTCCAGCAACTAACTTTCATATTTAATTGTTTCTGCTTATATGTGACTTGACATTTTAAATTATTTAAATTGTTTTAGTATAATATGTTCGTATGTAAGTATACTTAAAATGTATGTATTATGTACTATTTAAATATTATGTACGAAATGTATCATATATTACTTAGGTTAATTGTAGTTGTGTATATTTATTTTTGTATTTACACTTATGGTATGTGTATTTTTATATTTACATTTACGTATAAATTATCCACATATTTTATGGCACCTGCTAAAGTTCTCTGCTTAGCTCATGGTTGACTGGTAGAGAATGCCTAAAGGCATTAAGTCCGCCAATTGTACATTTTAAGTGCAATAAAGTTTTTAAATAAATAAATAAAATAAATAATAATAAGATGTCTTCTTTATCAAAAAACTAAAACATTCATATACAGTACAGTACGCAGACACCAATTGTTACGAGCTTAGGGTTCGTGACAATAAAAACTGCCGAATGAATTACCAAAATTTACACTTTTATTACCGAACACAAATTAAAACTTAAAAGACACTAATAATCACACTGATTCACTTTATTTCTCTCCAAAGCTTCGCTTGTCTCGTCAAGTTCAATACTGCCGCGATCGCGGCTTGCAGCGGCTTTAAATACACCTTTTACACCGAAACATCCAGAATATTCCAGTAAATACGAGCGCCGACCGACCAGACGTAGAAAGTTCGAGTGTGGGGCTTATAGAAAGCTTAATTCTTCTGTTCGATACTAGATACATACAACACATGAACAAAGTACAAACAAACTATGTACAAATTATTTATATTCTAAATCGAATTGTCTCTCTTTCTTAAGGAAAGATTTGATTACGTCCTCGTAAAATGTTGGTGAAAGTTTTAATTTTTCCAATAAATGTTTTAATTAAGATAATTGATTAGTCTTAAAGACGCTCTTGACCTTGTGTATTTTCTCAACAAAGTTTAAAGATTTTACCATTTTTTCGCCGATTAGCACACTTCAATTCATCACAAGGAACACTATTATCCACCATTTTCACTTAAAATCTTTAAAAAAGCATAAATTAAAAACAGAGTAAACATTGAAATGTGAAGTGAACTTGCAAACCTATCGCCCGCGCGCCCCCTCACTCAACAACTTCATACTAAAGCCGGGCTTTTTAGTCCATACTAATTTGCTATATAAACATTTCGTAGTTATATTTTACTATAGAACATTTTGCCACAGGTTAGTAAGGGAGCGATCGTCTTCTCGAAAGCCCGGTAAAAAGCCCACGCGTGCGAGAGAGATGACTAATGGCTCAACTCAGCTCCTTGCTTTCATTGATTTTGACAGTTCATTGCGTGTTCGCTTTGAAACAGAGAGAATACGAATCAGTGTATTTCGAATTGTAAGCAAACTGCCAAGTGTTGTCGTTACATAACAAGGCTACGAGGTCATGACCTGTACAGAACAGAGAATGCGAGGGAAATTTTAAATAGTTTGAAACAGTTTACGAGTTATTTTATTAGTTGATATTATTGATTAAGCAGTTGGAGCAAACCCGGCTTTTCGGCTTCTATGGAGGCTTCGCCACTGGTTCGTTTAAAGCATATGATTAATACATTAAAATTTGAAAGATGTTAAGCCACAAAAGTGACGTAATGGACAGTTTAAGAGAAATTACTCGAATATCTATGTGAAAATTCTACCTAAGTTCTTTTATTTAATAAAAAAGGTTTATTATCTACAAAAAATAGAAAGATACAACAGATAAAAAGTTGTTTTAATTAAACAAAAGAGAAGTTATTAAAGTGTCGAAATGGAACCGTTTGTTACAAAAGAACAAGAATGAATTCCTTTTTTTCCCGTTTTTTTCCCCAATTTATTTTATTTCGTTACATACGTTTTTTTATAAAAAAATGGTGACAAGCGAGCACACAATCCACCTGATGGTAAGTGGTTGCTGCGGCTCATAGACATCTACATCCATCCTCGTTTGCGAATCAAAATGAAGATGCGTTGTCAGCCTTGAGGACTAAGATGGAATGCCTCTTTTACAGTAAAAAGGGTCTCCGGTTCTCTACACTCACCATACGAAACACAGCAGCATTAAGCTGCTATTTGACGCTGGTATTCTGTGAGAGTGTGCTCCTTCCCCGGTCGAGCCGACCCATCCGTGCTACAACTATACAATTAATATAGCTGCAGCATGGCTCTACCAGGTAAGGTAGAGCCATGCTGCAGTATGCTGTTATTTAATTATCTATCTACTCATGTGTGATTTAATGCACATTTTCTTGGACACAAAATGGTCCAGCTAAGTAACAGTCATCTTTATTGAAAATGCCCATATGTACATAATATGTATTCTATTGTGATATTAAAATTGCAGATACGACGAAGTCCGGTTACGTTGGGTTGGCACTGTCTCAAGGCTTGATTCTTGTGAACATGGTGCAATACGGCGTCAAGCAGGCGACGGAGGTGGTATCTCAGATGACAAGTGTGGAGCGCGTGATGCAGTTCACGTCGCTGCCGCAGGAGCAGACGGCCGGCCCGGCGCCGCCGCCCGGCTGGCCGCAGCGCGCCCGGCTCGTTTTCAAGGACCTTTACCTGCGTTACGACGTGGAAGCCGAACCGGTACTGAAGAATCTAAATATTGTTATCGAGAGCGGCTGGAAGGTAAGGAACACATAACTTTTTTTTATTTTGTGGATTCAAAATATCAACAAACAACAATATAAACATATTTTTTGTTTTTACGTTCTTTCTACATTTTTTATAATACCATTAGGCGTAGACTTTGTTCTGTCTTTTCCTGTAGATGTCTCGATAAGTTTCACTCATCGTTTTACAGTGTGAGCCCCACTAGATGAAATAACGGACTGCTAAGTTACACAGGAAGTCGATGGATGCAGGTGGCTTAGCACCGTGCTTTGTGACATTCCTTAGGGGAGCCTTATGTTCAGCAGTCGACTTGTGAAGGGCTGTTAATGATGAAGTGAATAGATATCCATTGTAAATATAAGTAATTTTGGTCCGTAAATACAGAATGTTTTAATAACTTAACCTACTCCACACCCACAGAGCCACCTATCGGATGCTAGTGTGACGGCCCATTATTATTATTAATAATTAAATTCAATGTAAGGGGCGTAAAAATAATCTTAAAAGATATACATTAAACAATAAAATTACATTAATAAGTATAGAGTTAAAAATAAATACATTTCAGACATTAAGTGTTAACGTAAATTGAAGGCAAAATATTGTCCTTCAAAATAAATAAGTTTATTAAAAAACTTGTGAAAATATTTAAAATATGATAAATATTGATTAAAACTACTTTTACGGATTTTATCGCGTTTAACTTTAATTTTAATTATTTTAATTTTTAATTCCCGACGTTTCGGGTGCTTTCCAGCACACATGGTTACGGGGGACTGAGGTGACTGACGTCCGATGTCATTATTAAACCCGGAGTACCAGGCAGGGAGGCAGGATCATCGTTCCCATCGTGACAGAGAGGTTGCAGCAGCTACAGTTCGCGACCGCAATAAAGGATACAGCCCTAGGTGCTATGTCTGTGGGGAAAGGGAACATCTTCGATCCAGCTGCCCTAAGCGAACTGTAGAAAAGGATCGATCTCAAAAGGGTAGTGCGGCTAACGGCACCGCCCAGCAGCAGCAGGATTATCGTTCACCTCACGTTAGGGAGGTTGCAGCACCTACGATCCGCGACCACAATAAAAGTTACAGCCCAAAGTGCTACGGCTGATGATTGCGAGAACAGTACTAGGCAAGAGGGTAAGGAAGTGGTATCCGTGAGGATGCTCAGGACAGACCACCTCAGCAACGAGTGGAAGGACAGCTTACAACATGCACAGAAGGAAGATCCGGACGTCTAGCCGATTCTGGAATGGATGAAGGTCCGTGCTCCCAAGCCCAAGTGGGGCGACGTCTCAGCAATGAGTTCGACCACTAAAAGCTATTGGGCACAATGGGACAGCTTGCTGCTTCAGGATGGATTTCTGTGCCGTAAATGGGAAAATGGTCAAGAGGACAGCTGTCGTTTGCAAATGGTTTATCCTAAAGCTAAAGTACCGAATGTTCTACAGCTGTACCATAATGGTTGTTCAGGAGTCCATCTGGGAGTTAAACGAACTCTACTGAAGATCCGAGAACGGTTTTACTGGATCCATTATCGTGACGATGTCGAGGATTGGTATCGCAAATGTACAAGTTGTGCGACTGTGAAGGGACCTCAGACTCGTAGTAGATGTGCATTAAAATTGTACAATGTTGGTGCACGATGGGAGAGGACACTCCTTGACCTTGCGGAGCCGGTTCAGAAAGGTGCAAGAAGTGCTCCTAAGATCGTCCGTGTGGATCGACTGGCGCGTTATTATGGGACCGATAATGCTCGGGACGAGCATGTCTTAGGAGGGGGCAGTGTTGCTCGCCACAGTGGATGGCACTAGCGCCATCTGGTATCAAGTATCAGAAATAGGAGTGTCAAGATCTTTCCGGAACTCTCTTCATAGCGCCATCGTGCTGATCATGCAATTGGTGGTGATACCATACACTTACATCACGTCTGCAGGAGCGGCGGTCTGGCAGGTAGTGGCGCTCACGGAGGGTACGGCCAGTGTGCCTATTTGCCTAAACCGTGTAATGTACGTCACATTCACTGTGTTTGGATTCGTTCGTATTCTGTATGGCGTTTACACGCATTGACATGCGCACTACCAAGGGGCCAAGTCCTCTTTTACTGGATCGCCAATTATTTTGCTGTGGACTACGGTCCAGTTCCCGAATTAGCGTTCCCTTCGGGGTGAGTGCATCAAAATGGTTGGCGCTCACCGTGCACAGCGTGTGTGGAGCCGTGTGCCTCCCCTACATTTTTTTAAATAGGAGAGCGAAGCCCTTGTATCGGGTATTTTGTAGAAATATATTGTGAGCCTTTTTCGAGCGGGAAGGGATAAATACTAATAAATTTATAATGTAAACCTGATACAAGTAGAATAGGGACGTTTTATGGTCTTAACCTTTCTCGAACCCTGTGAACGGGGTTCAATTAGCGAGGATTAATGATGAATGAATGAAGGAGAATTAATGAGGCATGACTATTACTATCTTTTATATCTGCATGTTTTCTGCTTTTTTCTTTAATTTTTCGTTTAAATGGTTTATTATATTGTAACTTCAAAGTTAATTTATATTGCTTACAAACTTACATTAAATACAAAAAACAGATACAAAACATTCATACACAGACAAAACTCAAACTGTTTAATAAAATTATACGTTTAATAATTAAATCACATATTTACTCTACACACATATTCACATTACATTTACATTACACAACCTAATACAAATTCTATGCTAATGACCCAGCAGTTCTCTTACTTCGTCCATGAATAGTTCTCTGAGTGTGTACTCAGAGAACATTAAAGCCCGGCGACACTAGGTCGCGCCGCTCCGTAGTCTCACGCAAGAGACTCCTCGCGGAGTTAGAGGTGAAAGAGCGATTAGCCGAACTCAAGCTCGAGCAAGCCCGGTTGCAAGCAAGAACGGAATTGCAAGAAATACACGTGCAGCGACTACAAGCAGAAGTCGGATCAACCGAGGACGAAGAGGAAGAAATAGAAGACGATTTAGCCTCAGTGCGCATTAGTACATGGTTGCAAGAAAAACCTACATCGCAATCCGCGCCGCAGACCGCGCCGCAACCCACGTCGCACTTCACATCGCAACCCGCTCCGCAGTTCGCCGCGCAACCCGCTCTGCAGTTTGCAACACAACCCGCGCCGCAACCCACGGTGGCGTTACGGCGATCGGTAACATTTATACAAACCTTTTTTAATAGCTCTAAGTCTCGGTGTAGGTCAGCATTACGGACGTATAACAACAAATATAATTTGCATTTCAAATCTATGCTAACTCTCGTTATTCATTCGGTGTCTTTATTGGGAGAGTTATTGCATAGTTACAACACTATTCTTTTTATTATTAAAAATAAAGTTATATTTTTAACAAATGTAAATAATTATGTATGTAATGATTATTAATGACATAAATATAAATGTAATGATTAAGCTGCGGCTGTTTTCCGCGTTGCTGTGTGCAACTCCTGCTAGTTGTCGATCCGCGACGGTCGTAACCCTCTTGGCTCCGCCCACCGCCCCTAGGTTGTTCAACTAGTGTCAGTTATAACAAGCATGTATTTCGTTCGAGGTATCACGTTGTTTGCGTCGTGCACATTCTCCCGCCGTCGCCACGCTGCGATCCCTTTGGTAGCACGACGATCTTCTTTGTCGGTCTTCGTAGTACATGCCCACTGCCAGTTGTTACGTCCACTACTCGTACCTCTCCGTCGATGCCAGGATATATGTTGCTTATTTTTCCCCTGGGCCAGATGTTGTGTGGTAGATTGGAGTCACAGATGATGACCAGGTCTCCAATCTTCGGTGATACGCCTATGCTGCTGGGCTCCCGCCGGTGTTGGAGTAGGGGCAGGTATTCTTTAACCCATCTTCTCCAAAACACATCGGCTAGGGCTTGAGCTCGTTTCCACTGCCGGCGGGCCGTCACATCGCTCTCGCTGAAGTGTCCCGGCGCAGGTACGTCCGAGTTGGGACCGATGATAATGTGATTCGGCGTGATGGCTTCTGGGTCTCCTGGGTCGACTGAGAGGTGTGTGAGAGGTCTTGAGTTAACCGTGTTTTCGACCTCGGCGAGCAGGGTCGTCAATGTCTCGTCACTGGGATAGCGTTCGTTGAGGGTGACGCGTAGGGCTTCTTTCCCGGAGCGAACCATTCGCTCCCATGCGCCGCCCATGAACGGTGCTGATGGTGGTATGTACTTCCACACAATTTGTTGACATGTGGTTTCGTGCTCGAGGGCTGCGAGTGCTGCTTCGGCCAGCTCTTTGTCTGCTGCCTTGAAGCACGTAGCGTTGTCACTCCAGATTTCTTTTGGGTATCCTCTTCTGCTCATGAAACGCCTAAGCGCTGACACGGCTGAGTCGGCGCTTAACGAGTGGGCCACTTCTATATGTATTGCTCGTGACATCATACAGGTAAATAACGCGCCATAGCGCTTTTCACGATGTCGTCCCACTGTGACTTCTATTGGCCCGAAGTAGTCCAGTCCGGTGTATGTGAACGGACGTGCGTGATGAGCGAGACGTGCGGACGGCAGGTTTCCTGTAGACGGTGATGCAGGCTTGGCTTTTCTTAGACGGCACGGTAGGCAGCCTTTGATGACAGTTTTTACTACTGGACGTATTTTTCTTATGTACAATCTCTGTCTTAATTCGTTCACGACTGTTTCCACGCCTCCGTGATGCAGCCTCTCGTGTACGTGTGCTATGTACAGACGAGTGTATGCGTGCTTCCCGTCTAGTATGGGAGGGTCGTACGTATCCTCCTCCACTTCTGATGCTGCTTTTATTCGGCCTCTGAGGCGTAGGGTCCCCTCTTCATCGACGTATGTGCTCAGGTGGTCTAATTTGTCGTCGCCTCCCGGAACACTTCCGTTGGCGATCCTCTTGAGCTCCTTCGTGAAGCTTTCCCTCTGACTGGCTTGCACCCCCAGTTGTTCGGCTCTTATATGATAAGCGGCTGGTATTCCTACAAGCGATGAGACAGTAGAAGTTGCCTTTTTTTCCTTGGTGGGGGTGTTGTGTCGGTTTGTTCTTTGCCAGCCAGGGTCGCTATCTTGTCTTGCTCTGTTGCGTTTACGCCCAGCTTTCACCACGTGCTTGTTTGGTCTGCACATGTCGATGAATAGGAGGACTCTCGCTGTCGCCCTTATGAGGCGAATCCATTTTGAAAATTTTTCTATTTGTGGCAGATGGGTTTAGAATTAGACGACACAGAAATTTCACAGTCTATAAAATGTTCAATAGATGATTTGTCTTCAAACGCTGTTTATAAATATGGAAATATGAATATTATAGCTCAAAATATAACAAGTATATATTGTAATTTTGACAGTCTATTAATACACTTAGCGCAACTTAAACCTTGCATTGATATAATAACTTTGACGGAGTGCTGGTTAGATAAAAATAAACCAATTCCCACTTTACATAGCTACTGTTCCTATTCGACAAATACTCAGTTAAATCAAAACGATGGTGTAGTAGTTTACATAAAGAATGTTTACAGAGCACTTATCAAGGAAATAAATTTATACAAAGCTTCATGTTTACAAATAACTATAAATCAATACACAATTTTAGGTATATATCGTTCTCCTTCCATCACAAAAGCTGTCGAATTTATTCACTCTATTGATTTACAACCAAATTCAGTTAAAACTAGTCATATTATTATAGCGGGTGACATTAATATAAATTTATTACCTATTATGTGTGAGCAAAGCTATGAAAGAAATAACAGAAATCTTTATCTGACCGCTTTGGCTACACATGAAATACTTCCAGGCCACCATTTTCCTACCAGACGATTGCGTTGTTTGGACCATTTTATGCTGAAAATTGATAAAAAAAGAACAACTGCTTTCGTTGCAATTCTAGATACAACTATAACAGACCACAATATGACTCTACTTAGCCTAGTGGGCAACAATAGTTTAAGCAAATCTAATAAAACAAAATCTGTAACTGACTTTAATGCCGTCTTAAACAGTCTACATTTAAACGTTTTTGACGATTTATATTTATATACAGACCCAAATGCTCTAACTAATATATTGATCGATAAAATATCTATTGCATTCGTTAAACACACCAAAATTTTAGCTGTTCCTGGGACAAAGAGATTTATCAAGCCCTGGATGACAGAAGGTATACTTCCATGCATAAGAAACAGAAATGCTATGCAAAAAAAAAACTAAAACAAGATCCAACTAATAATATATTAAAGATCACTTACCGTCGCTACCGAAATTTTTGTAATAAACTTATTAAAAAACAAAAACGTAAACATGATTGTAACGTCATTTCTAAATCTTGTAAAAATAATAATATTCGGAGCGTTACACTAGCATAGCTATGAACCATCATCTCGACGAAACAAATGTATTGTGTGAAGTTATAAGATCGCTAACTGACGTACTAATGATTATACATATAAATATGAGCGTACGACGTGACACTTTTAGATATCTTAATCTCAAAGTGTTCATTAATATTCACTTACGGTACCTTACCTCAAATAGCAACAAAACACTGCGCATATATGTTAAGAGCGTATATTTAAATATTCGCAAGCAACGACTACACAGCCCGAATAGACGCCTCATTCAAGGCAAACACTTTCTGTCAACATGTCAGACAAATACGTCTTACTTATGAAAACGATCGCACGATCTACTTTAGTAGCGACCGCTTCACTGACCCGTGAACATCTTGCATGTGACTCGTGAATTTTCAACAAAATAAAATACAACAGACGCGCAACATGGTTCCCTGTACAATAAAATAGTGCGGAAATAATAGCCAAGTGTGTAATTTCAAAAAATGGCATCACTTTTCATAGATAAGTGAATTTTGATTTCAAAATTCTTTAATTAAAATTAAATCAGAGCTCAACCTATATTTGTCACATGCAACTCGCGTTGATTTATTCGGACATCTTAGGATATTTTCGGACTATGCATCCCTTTCTTTTCAATGCAGTTTATTATTGCTATACTTTTCTTTAATTACCGGCACGTGTAACTAGTGCTGTACCAGTTAAACTATAATATTGGTACAAGTAAATATTATGCATGTTATCGTGAATGTTTGACAGACTTATACTATAAGCGACATAGGTGTAAGCTGAATTTTTAGTGAATGTACGTTAATCCATATTTCAATTAATTGATTTAATAATGAAATCAAATTATTCAAAACTTCTTAAAAAAATTCATAATAAAATTGATTTAATTTTTAATGGACGGCACTCCACTCTCTTTACTGCTAAGACGCCATGTTAAGACAAGTAGGAAACGGAAGTGAACTTGACAGTTTAAATAACTGTTGCTATTTTGTTTTTAATAGTATTCTATTATTATTTCAATATTGTAAAGAAAGCTTGTTTTAATAAAAAATATTCTTTAAAACAAAAAATAATAGGTATTTTACTAAATACGATACCTACTTAAATAAAACTTCCTTTGTTTTTTTTATTTTGTACTAATTTATAGTAGAATATAATTCTGGTACTGATTAAGTAGTACCAAGGTAAGGTACCAAATTTATTAGTTAAAGTTCCCATCACTATTTGCTTATTAGCAAGTGTCGCAACCTTGATTTTAACCAATTAGCGTGCATTTAAACCCGTAAACCCGCCTCCCCCGTACCGCTTACCTCAGACTTTTGACAGACAGCTTTGGATGCAGAAGTACATACATTAGGCGTCTATTCTGGCTGTGTAGTCGTTGTTCGCAAGTCAAAATCTCTAGAACGACGTAATATTGACGCACACTACCATGTTGTCTGTGTGCATGACTGCTCGAGATGGGTCGAGCGCATTGGTCTCTAGCACGAATCATCTTGATATTACTGGAACGAACAATTAAAATAATTTCCACATAATAGCTTATTAGGTCGGTGCTAAGACATAGTGTATATACAAGAATTAATATCCGACCTAACCCTGACATCGGAAGCTAATATATATATATATATATATATATATATATATATATATATATATATATATATATATATATATAAATTATTTTATTCTTTTAGTAAATTCTTTGAGTATTAAACCAACTGGAGAGGCCATGCGCGTTAATTCCTAAACAAAAATTCTGTCAACATCAGGGGGGCGCAAGAAAAACACACAACTGTATACTTAACAACAAATGCAAAATTAAATCGTGTCACTATAAACGCACACTACAACATTTGTGTTTGTGTTCATCGCGATACCATCAAATTGTACACGTGTCGATACACTGATAGCGTTGGCTGAATGCGTAAGCAACGTAAGGCGTGGACTATGTCGACATTTTTTATCGATAAACAAATCACCATAGTAATAGCCAATGCCTTGCGATGCCGTCTCCTTTGGTTTAATACTCAAAGAGTAAATTGAAGTCGGCCTTACCTTTTTTACTCTATTGAGTAAACTAAGGAATGTCACAACGCCACGTTAACAACTAGAAAGAGGTAAGTAATATATGTACGAAATGAAAATTATATAAAATAAGTATTATATAAAATAGTACTTTTGATATACTTTTATTCTGTTTCATAATGTAAAGATGATTTCATCAAAATAGGAATTTCGTTGGGGTCGGCAGGAACCCGGGTTGCTCACGATTACGGCATTCACTTCGCCCTTGAGCTACCATGGCTCATATCTTTTTCTTTCTATTTTATAATAACGTTACCTCCACACTAAGAATGTTTCCTAGGTATGTCGTGGGAGCAGTTATCATAAGGACATAAATTTCACAAGGACAAATATCCAGACCCGGAACAATTTTCTGCTGTTGGTGTTTACGTGGTAGAGCCATGCTGCAGTTATATTAGTAGTATATTTGTAGCACGAATGAGTCATCTCGACCGGAGAAGGACCACGCTCTCACAGAATACCAGCGTTAAATAGTAGCTTAATGCTGCTGTGTTTCGTATGGTGAGCATAGAGAACCGGAGACCTTTTTTACTGGAAACGAGGCATTCCACCTAAGTCCTTACGGATGACAACGCATCTGCATTTTGATTCGTAATCGAGGATAGATGTAGATGTCTATGGGCCACAGCAACCACATACCATCAGGTGGACTGTGTGCTCGTTTGTCATCATATCCTATAAAAAAATATTGTAGGAATACTAATTTTTTCCTGTCTTGTTGTGTGTTTTGTGTGTAATTTTTGCCACCATGTCCTGAGTAGTGGCCCTTCTCCTCCCCCCGATCATACACCAAGCTAATCCAGCTTCGGCCGTCTGCCGCGCGCGCTTACGTTCGAGTGTACTTTAGTGATTTATAATAATGGGAAATAAATTTAATTTACAAAGGAAAACAAAGGTTGGTGAAATAAAATATGCCTGCGGTATCTAAGTGAATACTTTCTTATTCATTTATTTTCTTTTGATTCCCTAAGGTTTTGTAAAATAATAAAGTACAATTTTTAAGAAACCCCAAGCACCCCTCAAGGAAATCTCGCGAGGCTGTAGGGCGTGGAGGCTAAATCGCAATTTGAGTTCACATACTATTTCCTCTTAAGGAAAATCTTTGATATTTGGGCATAAGTGAAAATAATGAGGTATGACTACCAATTTGAAATCATTGCAGGTCGGTGTCGTGGGACGTACGGGCGCGGGTAAATCATCGCTCATATCAGCTTTGTTTCGCCTGGCACCCATTGACGGCCACGTGTACATCGACGATGTTGACACCGGCGAAATAGCTCTCAAGGTGAATTGTAAACGTACATTTTTTTATACAATTGAATTGACAAACGAACTCACAATTCACCTGATTGTAAGTGGCTACAGCACTAAACTACTACTGCAAACAAATACGAACAAAGAGGGCGACAATTGATCGCGGTGTCACCTTTGAGTACTGAGATGGAACGCCTCACAGCCTGTTATTGTACTGGCTCCCTGTACCTGCAGCACAGCAGTGCGCGCAACGCTATTTGGTGCAGCAGTAGGTAAAAGGGTAGTTTACCCAGACGTACTCCCGCACAGAAAACTAGTCCAACTACCTGGTACTGCACCACCTAGTGTTGCAAATTTGTTCAAATTCAGCACTTGTTCAGCGGCAGTACCACTTTTTAATTTTATCTCGTATTTAGTGTTTTGTGGTTTTTTTTTGCTGAAAATTTCAAAGTAAATATGTTCACCTTATTCCCAACTAGCAACACCTGGTGAGCGTAAAATTGTTAGCCCTTAATCTCTGAACTAGTGGACATAGACACTACACAGATAGTTAAAGTTATTTTTTTTTAATATTTGAAGATTTAGATTAAAAAACACTAATTAATTTTTATAAGACAAATAGGGTATATCAATAAGGCAATGCAAACATGAAACACAAAGTCATTTTAGAGTATCAATTTCTATTTTACTGATTTATTACGTATGGCGATTGCAGGCGCTTAGATCCAAGATCGCCATTATACCTCAGGAGCCGGTTTTATTCTCCGCCAGCTTGCGCTACAACATGGATCCGTTTGACAAGTACACTGATGCCGACATATGGCAGGCGTTAGAACAGGTAGGTACTACGCCTCTAGTTATGTACATAAATATACGAAACTATAAGAGTGAAAAGGATTATCGCCATCGCAATATTTAACTAGCAAAATAAAATTTAATTTATTTTTTCTTCTTTATTAGCCCCTAACAGTACACTGCTGAACTAAAGTTCGGGTTGAACTAGGTCTCTCTCATAGTGGAGAAGCTTTTCCATTGTTACGCCACTGTTCTGCGAAATATCTATTGTTCGGCGCGAGTCGCGTACAGCAGCTGACAGTATTTGCGCATGAACGTCCAGCCAATATACTGCAGGCGAAAATGTCCAGTGAATGACGAAGATTAACAAACGGTTCAGTTATATGGAAGAATGTTCATCGTGCCCACACCAAGTCCTTGTATTTTTTGTTACAGAATAAGGGTGATGGTTGCGCGGAAAACCATTCGCATTTTTTTTGTATGACGGTAGGACTTGCCGAATCGTTATTCCTTTCCAAAACGATATCATTCGTACCCTCCTATCGACACATCGGGGTGAGGGGGTGGGAGGGGAAAGAAGATGATTCTAGAACATCGCGTAATCATCGGAGCCGAGGATATATAAGGCACGCGCGACCGATGCGCGGCCTCTCTCTCTCTCTTCCCGCCGCGCTCGCCGTTGAAACCACAGCTCTCTTCCCGCCGCGCTCGTTGTTGGAAACACATCATTAGTAGAAACCGCTTTAGCCTGGAAGCAGTCGAGCTCCAGGAAGCCCGCCTCACCTCGTGTGAGATATAGTCGCGCACCGCCCCAGAGTGTCTGTCCAGAAGAAGTTCCTGAAGTCGCCGCTATAGTGCTCTAAAGGATAGAAGAACCCCGGTGAGTCAATATCCATTATTATACCTGCTTGATAATAGTTTTTAACCCGCTCCAACTTTGTGTTTTCCTAATCAAGCAGGATTCCTTTCATCGATTTGGCAAGTAATAGTTTTAGTTTAGGGAAGAGCGAGTGCATTGTACCGCATGCTATAGTAGTCGCTTTTACGTAAGCGTAGAAGCATTCGCATATACAGTCCACTTTAGTTAATATCTCGCGTAATAGGTTTAAGGTTCGACCGGGGGAACTAGATTTTCGGCAGCCTTAAACACGTGGCTCCACCAGGTGACAATCCAGCACACATCCACCAGATGGTAAATAGATCCTGTAGGCTATAGACATCTACATCTACTCTCGCATAAGAATCAAAATACAGATGCGCTATCACCCCTGAGGATTAAGATGGAATGCCTCGTATCCAGTAGGTAAATAGGGTCTCTGGTTCTCTACACTCACCATACGAAACACATTAGCATTAAGCTTTTATTTTACGCTGCTATTCTGTGAGAGCGTGTTTCTACCCGGTCGAGCCGACCGATTCATGGTACAACCATATTATAGTTCCAGAGTTTTGATTTTTAACATAGAAAATAAATGTGGATGTCCAAGGGTCTCAGCATTCACTTACCATCAGGTGGACTGTGTGCTCGTTTGTCACCCTTTATCTATAAAATAACAATAGAATCTCTTGAGCAATGTGTTTGCAATGTGCTGAATAAATTTAAGTTATTTAATTATGTACGTATATGTATGCACAGTCATTTTAAATAATAAATTTATTTGTAATTAAATTATTTACCCGATGGCCGGGTTGGCCATATAATTTGAAAAACCGACAACTGATGGGAAATAGTGATTCTCGAGTGTAAGCCCTGCACTAGCTAGTAACTAGTTAACTAGTAGTAGTGTAACTAGTTGTGCGACCCTCCACTTGATTGAGTAACCTGACCTGACGAAACACGCAGTTGATGAAAGCAGATGGCTCAGGACCTCACTTGTGCCATTCCATGGGAAGGCCTTTGGTCAGTTATGGACTTCTTTGGGCTGTAGAGATGGTGATAATGATGTATTTAACTCGCTTAAATACTCTTTAGTAAAAAGAAAGTCAGTTATATTTTACACTGGTTTTTATAAATATTATTTTTAATTTGTATTCTAAATATTGTTGTTTATTGAATATTTTCATATTTCTTGACCGATTCCTCCATAATCGTCACGATGGGCTGGTGAGATGAAAACCCGAAGCTGAAAAGCTCGCATTTGTCGATGGATTTTTTGTCACTACCCAGGCGCTAGAGTTTGAACCAATCACATTTGGCTGTAGCAAGTAGTACTCGGCTAAACCTTGGCGTGAAAAAGTAAATAAATGACGAAACAATTATTTGTAGGCCATGCAAACACTTGTTCGGTTAGGATTTAAATCACGGCGCGCATCGTCAAGGCGAAGTGTCCTTGCTTCAGTTCAGTCATGTCATCATTTGTTGTTGCTCCGATTTTGGTGGTGACGTGTGCTTGTGCTCATCATTAGCTAAATAATGTATTTTAGTGTGGTAGAGCAGCTATTCAGTTCTTACATGATATCACTACTACCATTTTAACCCTTAAAAGCTCGGCGTCTCCATATGGAGACGTCAATGTCTCCTTGTTAGACCGTGCCAAAGAGTATACTAATATTTAGAGGGACGCCTTAGAACCAAAGAGTATATGATCACGAAGTTTACTCGAAACTATAGATAAGATTATAAATAACATTTAAAAATAATTATATTATTATATAGTTCACATATAAACTTAAAAACTTGGTAATTGGTAATATTAAGTTGCTGATAGACACGCTCTACTTAAAAAATTATATGCGTGTTATGATATTCAGTGGAATCTCTATAACTCGAACCTCGTTAAGTTGAAATCCTCAGTAAGTCGAAAAAAATTACCATTCCCTTCCGCTAAACCCCTAAATACGCGGTATCTCGAATTATTAGACTTGGTAACTCGAAGAAAATGTTATTTCCCTACGAAATATTGATAATAGATATTTATACCCTATAACTCGAATTTTAAAAATGAGACTCCGTAAGTCGTAGTTAGTAAACAATAATGACGTCTTACTTGGAATTCCCCGAAATAATAGCAATAAAATCCGGGTTCTTAATCATAAAGTAGCTGCCGCGTCACCTGCCGAGCGTCGGCCGAGCTCGGCGGGTGACGCTGGCAGCTATGCGTGACATGAAACGTCCTATAACTCAAAAAGTATGAATGTTAGAAAAAAAAGTTTCAAACAAAAGTTTTGGAAAATAAACTGATCTTTCAAAATAAATTTATTCATTTTATTGATTAGTCTAATATTTCAAGAGTTATTGGCCGCGATAGAAAAACCGGTTCATTAAATGGGCCATAAATCGTAAACGGTAAGTTTTACAAAAAAGTTTGCTGGAAACAAAAGATGCGAAATTTTATTTTCTACAATAATTGTTTGTATAACTTTTGCCTTAAAGTTCATTGTTTCCGAGATATCGGCTGAAAATATTTTATCAAGATGGCGCTTGAAGCGCCACCTGTTCATTAAATGGGCCATAAATCGTAAACGGTAAGTTTTACAAAAAAAATTTACTGGAAACAAAAGATGCGAAATTTTATTTTCTACAAAAATGGATTATATAACTTTTGCCTTACAGTGCATAGTTACCGAGATATCGGCTGAAAACGTTTTTTCAAGATAGCGCTTGAAGCGCCACCTGAATCTGTCGGCATTTTGTGATTTTATGCTTAATAAGTGATCCTAAACCTCATAAAAAATAAAATTTAATCGGAAATTTCGTGCAATGTTAAATTCTATTTTTACTGTACTATTTCATTAAACATTTTATTTGTCAACAACGTCTAACAATCATTTCTCTAGCGCTCACGTGACCTTCATACAAATAATTCGATATTTTAATTGTTGATAATTTTTATTTTTGGATAAGAACATGGTAATGACTCTAAGTTATATTTACCTTCATTTAAAAAAAATTGTCTTTGGCCAAACCTACTATACTCTTTGGCTTGACCATAGGTTTGACTAATTGGTTTAATGAACTGTCAAAGTCTTGAGTGTTTAATTTATTGTCATCAAACAAAAAATGTGCGCTACTCTGTGTTCGCGCGGTTGGTTTTTTTATCATAGAATAAACATAGGTAGAATGACCCGTAGATAATAGTAGATTGTATTGTTAAATAGGTAAATTATATCGAGAACAATATTTAAATTTTTCATTTATTTTGTATATTATATTTGCTTATTTAATATAATATTACATGATATTATATCACAATTACATTTTAATGATATTTTTATCTGAATATTTTAAAATTTCGTTCGTTCGTTCCGTTGGCGCTACAACACTTTGTGAGTCTTGGCCTCCTCCACAATCTTCCTCCAGTTGTCACGCTGCCTGGCTACCTTCTTCCAGCTGGTAAACTTTCTCATCTTCCTGAGATCTTCTTCCACACAGTCACTCCAACGCTTTTTAGGCCTGCCTCTAGGTCTCTTTTGTTGCGGCGTCCACTTTGTCATTATTTTTACGTCTCTAGTGTCCGGCATTCTTTCAAGGTGACCCGCCCACCTCAGTCGCTGCGACTTACAAAACCTGACGATGTTCTAGTCCCCGATAAGTGCGTCCAGTTCATGGTTCATGCGTTGACGATAGATACCGTCACGCTCTTTTATGGATTTTAAAATTTATATAAGTCAAATATAAAAACATACTAAATGTATGTTTAACAAAAGTTATTAACATAACATTTAAATTACAAATATATTTCTTTAAATTAAAATAAAAGTCGTTCATAAATGCTGGGCACGCGAGAGTTAAAATTGGACGAATTTATACCACTTTGACTTTGATGTGGAAACCTAAAAATAAAATAAAAGAATAATAAGCAGATTTAAACATGAAAATTTTTGCCAAATTATAATAACTTGTATATGTCTCTACAAAAAATTTGTACAATAAATATATTATTCGTCCTATACTTAAGTACCCACAGAAATGTCGCATCTGAACATATTAATTTCATAATCTATATTCCCTGACACGAGATGGCGTCTTAGGAATAATTTGTTTTATTATTAATACATAATACTTTTTATTAATTAAGTATCTTATTAACCGATGAAAAGTAA